AAGTCTAAGGCCGTTTGTCAGTAGTAATATATTAAAATGATCAATTTACAAATGATTTCCAGTTTCCACTGTCCATAGTAATATTTATCCCAGCTGAGTAATTTTTCAGCTACCCTAATCTCATGTCAACAGATTTTCATTGAGAAACCACCCCGCCGAAATCACTAAGTGTAATATTTGACACAAAAGTGTCATCAATTAATAAACAATTAAAGTATTAAGAAATCACTCACGTTGAACTATATATTTTGCCAAGTTATAGAGGTCTAAACATGGTACGACCGTTTCGCTTATCTGAAGCCAAGATAAATTGAACTCACAGAGCCGAGTTTTTTTTTAGACTAACTGATCTAGTTAGCGAAATCCACAGATCAATGTTAGTGATTTTCAACTACTCAGTCTGTTCAGTAGTAGATTGTTGACACTTATTGTCACACTGATGTTTTGACTGCAACATTTTCAGCACGAAAGGATACAGCAAACTTAGCGAATACATGAATTATGCGTCTCCGCTCACATTCTAAATTATACGTAGTAAAGTCACACTTTGTCTCCGAAGTTAACCAGTCAGGGATTTGTTAAACTGTACACTGATTCAATGAACTTTAAGTCTTTCAGTGGTCAAAAAAATTTTAGATGTGAATTTAAATAAACACTGAAATTTTCTGTGAGCAAATATGCATTTGGATTAGATTAACTAGACATAATGAAGACGATAGCCAGATTCAACTATGTTGTGGTTAGTGTAAACGTTTAGATACTTATATATAATGTAGTTCGGTAGACACTTCAACTCCGTGGTTTCAAATTGATATTTCCACAGACTGCAATGATGGTCACAACTTATAGGAATAGTGTGCAGTAGAAATCTTTCCATAGTATATAACAAAAGTTGCATGTTATATTTAGTCACTCATGAATTCACTAGGTAAGAAAATTAAAAGCTCTGTAAAAATATATTTTGAAAAATTCAGAGGATCTTTATTTTCTTATGTCAACTGGATCGCAATTAAAAGCTTCTACTGAATTAGAAATTAGTTCACAAGTAATGTTTTTATATGCAACATACTTTTATGAGATGGTTATTAGCACAACTAAAATTTGTATTTATCGATAGAGGCTTGGAGAAAACAGTGCACTGATAAAATCATTTATTAAACTAACAGCGAAATTATGCCTTAAGTGTATGGATATAATTTAATGCTTTTTTTCTATCCCTTCCTATTCCTATGTTTCCCACTAACTTCATTGACCTTTTCGTAAATTTTCATAGAAATAGTTCGACAACTCCATATGTGATCAGATTGTTCGAAATGTATAGCGCTAATACATCACATGTTTCAGATAATCTTCGTTTTCTCATTACGCTGTTTAAATTTATCAAAGGGACCAGTTGCTTTAAATTAATGCTTTTCATATGTTTTATAAAAGCGTAGTGTATTTCGGGCCTAATTTTATTTATAATCTACGTCTTAAAGTAGCCAGTTCAACCATATATAAGTGCTATGAGAATATCAAATAGTTATCTTTTCCAAAGGAGATATTTCGTCATTAGACAAACTTTGATTTTTAGCTGTAATATGAAAGAGTAACTATTTATTTTTCCATAATGTTATTTTATGATGTAATATAGAGAAATTTTAAGGAATAATATTCCGCTTATTTGATTTACAATAGAGACAAGATTAATGATATGAAGTTCATTTAAGAAAGAAAGTCAGTTACCAAAAGCATAACAGGAAAGGAACTACTTAAAAACTTCCAAAAGGCCTCAGATATACAAAATGTTCAATTTTCTGGTTCTGCCTTCCATTTGTATGCTTTTTCAAAACGATTTCACTAGTAACGGAAACGCTACCTACAATAAATACCCTTTACTTTGGTATGCAGTCACTGGACATACAATCTATTTGGATCCTCTAAAAAGAAGAGATCAAAATAACGTCATTCCAAAAAATAGCTATAAATATCATTTTCTTATCGTGTATGGCACAGTGTTGTTCTGAAAGTACAATCAAATCATATTAAATGATGGTTAAAAATCTTCTAACTGAAGAATTTTTGTTGAATAACACTCAGACACAACTAGTTACGCCTAACAGCTAAACATGTTAGTTCTCAAACTTCAGGAGAATTACAATGACGGCATTCTATCATAGTAGTCTAGCAACTGACTGATAGATTATACTTCATTCTGTGATCAAAAATGTGTCAACACACATCAAGCTCAATACATTAGCTTGGTCACTATTAGGTGATCAGTTTGTTTTGTGATTTATCGTTCAAATGTAAATGACAGCTGTCAGCCTTTTACGGTTTTTTGACTTTATAAATAACTTGTTACTGTATTAGTGTTCCGCGACAGGACTATTCTTTATTATACCTTTCTACAAGTACATCAAACATGACTTAAACATGTGACTGTACTAATAATGTCAGTGGGGAACTATAATAAAATATGTAACAAGGATACTCATCTTCTACCTATAACTGTCTCTATTTATAAGTGGCAAAGGAAAACTGAAAACTCTCTTTTCATACAAAATAAAAAGTTATATTAAATTGCGATTTCATCCATTGCTTACCTATCTTCTATGTAAGTCGAAAAAATCTGTACAAATAACCGTAAAACAGATGTAATCTTGAGAAAAGCATTTCGAAGATACTGAAATATAATTAACACAAATATGCACTAGAATATTTTCTGGTCTACGTCAAATAATTAGTTGACTTATTACTTATTATAAACTGGTGATTAATTTGCCTTAATGTTCTTTCAAAAAAATTAGAAATAGTTGTTATTTAAGCGATGATAAAATGATGTATGTGTAGAATGCATTTTGGGGTAACGGGGATCATATTTTCGAGTTAGTATTCATCATGGACAGATTTCAGTTGGAGAAGCATTGAAAACCTGGGGACACTGGATAGGCTCTTCGTCCTATTATGGGACTCCTCAGCAGTACACAGCCACATCCCGGCTAAGGGTCAAACTCTGAACTCCGACCCAGTGGCTGAATAGTAAACGCATTCGTCATGCGACCTGAATGTCTAGAGTTGCACTTCTTATGGGGCCGTGACTGCGTACTGCTGAGGAGTCCCGTGCTGGGACAAAACGGCTGCCCGGTGGACCCAGGATTTCAATGCTTCTCCAACTGATATCAGTCCTTGATGAATACCACCTCAATATCTTCATCACACAATGATAATGTTTTGGATTAGTCCTAGTAGATGTAAAAGCAAAGCCTGAAGAATGCAGATAATGAGGAATATCACTTCGTATTTCTGCAATCATCGGGTATTGATAAAATCACAAGCGAATCAAAGCTGAATTTTATTTCCAGTTGGTAGTACTAGTCGTTACTCTTTGTAAATCATTGCAGTATGACAAACTAACTTGTAACAAATTTTCGTTCACTCCTTAATTAATCAAGCAAAACTTTCCGTTCTTGCTAAATACAGAGTCATAAAACTATATAGCATACAAAAAAAAACTATATTCAGCGTAACACAAACTATGCATTCAGGCAAAACTATATCAACACTTAATTTAGTAACGATACCACTGCTTAGATATTCTGTAACCACCATGAAGAAGCGAAGTCATATTTAAGACTTAACTATTCGTTCGAGGTCAGCTTTAATTGTCAACTTGCTAATTCAAATAATCGTCAAAACATAACTTATTATAGGTGAGCGGTTTGACGTTAGTCATTCTACTTCAAGATCTCAGAAATCTTCCATATTATGTGGTAAACTTTTAGCCCAATAAAATGTGATTCAACTAAAAATCTAGTTTATCACTTCTACCCATCTACTAAACCTACTCATACCAAACAGTATATATTATTTTAATTTAAATGCCCAAAATTTAAAAAAGTCATTTCGAAAACGGTTAACAACATCAAAAATCTTCATAAAGTAACCAGAGGATTCATTTGCAAATCTTCAAAGCCATAAAGTTAGAAGTGCCATATAAATTGCTCTAAAGTATTGAAAATGTCAAAAATACAGGAAAACTATCTATTATACTCCCATTTCAAAAATGAAGCACATTTTTACTTGACAGTTTTTCAAAGTGACTAACATACAACAAACAACATTGATAGTTTGAGCGTAGAAAACTGATAGTTCTGATCTCTCGTGTTAAATTCTTATGGTTTACTAAAAGCAGTCTTTGAAGTGTTATTTAATAACTTGTTTATTTCACAGCGTCAAAATATTGAGACGCAATCTCGTCATAATAGCAGATCAAATCCATAATTACTTTGAAAATTATCTCATAAGAAATCCTGGGACGCATGAACCTCAAAGAGAATTTCAGTTAACTAGTTCCAATTCAAAGAAAAAAAGAATATTTACCTATCATATCCCAGTCCATCACAAAACAAATTTGTAGTCATTAAAACTGCCACATATAATGAGATTTTTAATAATGAACTATTTGTATTTATTTCATCACAAACTAATGGCTTCACATTACTGTCCTCAAAAAACAGGAGAAATCAATCTCGGTAGTCAGGTAAGTACTCAATGAAGAGTGACCTCCAGAAAAGCAAATACTGGTGAAATCTACCGATATTTGTGTACAAGACAACCGTAATAACAAAGTGCAGCAACAGCTTGAAAAAGAAAGTTATCAAGTTAGCGAATTTGGCTCATGTATATTATTAGTAATAATTAGTTATACTAATTCAAACGAAACCGAGATAAAGGTACATCTCAGAAACAGTTAGCTGCATTTCTTTAAGTTGTACCCGTTTTGTTATTATGATTTCTACTCTGGTAAGCGAAAAATAGTGCCTTGATAAAACCGGGAAAGAACTCACCTTATCATAATCAACTCTAAATGACAACATTGAACCACTCATCTTCTAGCTTGCTCATCAACTTCATAAGCGAAACCCCGAGGAAAAGAGCGCCTATACTGCGGTGGTAGATATCTTGGATGAGAAAACATGTAACTTTCATCAGTAGGATGCATCACTTCGTAAGGCTGATTATACAATCGTTTCCAGTAGACCATGCGTTTGTCGGCTGTTGCAGGGTTGGGATCTTTCATTCCTTCTGTTCTCAAACAGCTTAAGAGTAACAGGAGAAAAAACGCAGGAAGAAACATCTTGCAAGCCAGTAGATGACACAAGTGCATGGACTAGGAAGGCTAACTAGAGTGTATATATTAGCAAAAACATAGCTTAGACAAACTTGATTGGATGGTAAGAATTTCGACAAATAAGCTTCTGATTTCTCAGCGACTGAACAAATGAGCGCTGAGACCTATTTTGATCGAATATAATAAACCTATTCCAAATAAACCCAAGTACAGAAAGAATGCAATAAATCAATGTAACATTGAACAAAATGTCTATATTTAGAAAGGTTTTAAAAAAATTCGTGTTCAATTATTCATAAATTCGCTTTGGAAAGATTTTTGGGCAATTATTTTTACTTTGCTTGATAGTAACATTTAAAACACCTCGTGTGCGGGACATTCCTATTCTGCGTTACTGCAACAATGAGGAAGAAGGTTGGTGTCTAAATATGTTCTGTTACATAACTTATAGGTCTTGTTGATGGGAAAATCCGGATCAGGTAAAACAAGTATGCGGAGTATCATATTTGCGAATTTCATTGCTCGAGACACTCGCAGATTAGGCCCTACAAGTACGTACGTATGTATGGTAATTTACACATCTAGTGGACGTGGAACATACACACTTAAGATTGCTTGGTGGCCTGGTTCTCAACTTGTGGGATTGTGGGGGGTATGTTTTTACTTTAAAGATTCACTGATTGTTTGTAGGCAAGATGGCTTTATGGAAAGCTACTTCGTTAATCAAAGAGAAACCATATTCAGGAATGTCGAGGTTTTAATCTATGTTTTTGACGTTGAGAGTCGAGAAATATCAAAGGACTTAGCCTATTATCGCTCATGTCTGGATGCAGTCAATCAAAACTCTCCTGGTGCTAAAATCTTTTGTCTTATTCATAAAACAGACTTAGTCACTGAAGAAAAAAGGGATGAGGTATGTTCACTTTAGCGTTGTCGTTACAGCGATAAGACATTTACATTTTATTGTCATTAACGTAATTGTTCTCTTTGGCGTACATTGAGATACGAATTTGTGTGCTCTTATATTACTATCACTAATTGAATTCCTTGGGGTGAATCGAAGCTTCTTATTGCATGAACTGTTAGGTCTCTATTTTCTCGCTTCATTTCTATGCTTGAGACTGGATGCCGTAGGTGTCCAAAATTCACTCTTCATATTGTCACAGATGAACCCCGAACTAGGTTAAGTAACGCATTTTGTATTTTTGAAGCTCTGATACACAGATGTATGGAACATACTATCTATATTTCGAGTTTTCACCATTCTTCTATTAGTTTTCCGCAAAATCGACCCAGGTATTAGACTTGCGTCATACTATATCCACTAGATTTACCTTACAGCCTGGTTTGTAGGCTTGCTTTTGAAATCTAAGTTTTGGTTCACAAATGAAAATACAGTGTGGACAAAGATGTTACGCTAGGTAATTAAGTAAACAGGTTGAAAAGAGCAATTTTATTTCCCGTAGTTTTGTTTTCTGAAGCACATCCTACTGTTTAAAAAGGAGTTAGACACAAGCTACTCTAAGGATCTCCAGGTAAAATACACTAATAAATAATGAGTTTTACAAGATCGAAGACCAACCCATGAGGAAGATTCTAAAACTACTTTCATAGAAAAAGGCTGGACAGTTACTGAGAAAGCACGTCACTTATTCTGAATTAACCTAGTCCTATTTACAGTTTAGTGTAAAAAGAAATAATACCAAGGATTAGCTGACTCAGGAAGAAGCCAGTAAATATAGGTTGCTTCTAAAATAATGGATACATGTGGATCCCATTCTCACAGGTCCCGAATACAGTGACTGACTGAATCACTTCAATTTTAGTATATAAAATGACCGTTTGTAGTTACGTAGCAGCAACTACTCAAAGGATAAAAACAATGATAGTTAGCACTAAATAGTTACTTGGATTTGTCTAAAAAACTAGGATGAAAAAGATGAACCTGCAGTTCGCTATCAAGAGATAACTGAAACGATAGGTTAGGCTCTTCAAGGAACACTTCATCCGCTCTCTATTGATTCTCTCGTTATTATTTACCTAGGTGCAACCTGAATGATATATTGAGATAATGCCCTCAACTTTTCCAGTTACCTAAGACCAAAAACAACAGGTTTCGATAGGCTAACATCAGAGGTATTTGAAGGCGGTGATCAAGAACTGTTCGTTAGACTAACTGAAGTGTTAACTGGTGTATTAAAATAAGACATGATCCCCTCTGATTGGTCTCAATCCCTATTTGTCTTAGTTTTCCAATAAGGAGAACTCCTCCTGTGATGACCACAGTAAAACCATGCTGATGAACATAGTGTTTTAAATTGTAGTTTTTATAATCATAAGGCGTCTAAGTAAAGCTTAAGAACATCAAGCCCTGGGAAACGAGGCGAACTTCAGATGTAATCCTGAGTGCATCGGCCAAACCTTGGAACGAAAACACCGGCGCCCAATATTAGGTTTATTTCTCTACCTAAAGGCGACCTTCTATCCCACTTCATGAGTGCTATTTAAACGGTTTCCATTATTTCAGAAGAAGCTGCTGATATCCACTGGCTCTTTTTAGCCACCCTTTCAGAGTCGACTACGGTCTGCAGCTCTGCTTTTACAGCAGGCTGGAGATGGCACCAAGCTTCTGGGCGAGTGATAGCGTTCTGTGCCTATAACTGCCTAGCCAATTTTTCACTGAAAGCGGCCTTGATGTTTTTGTTGTCGTGCTGCACGCGTTTTGGTTTTGTTGCCAAATGTTTCCTAAGTCCTTTGAGACGCAGGCATATACGTACTCGCACCAACGCGTGGTCGCTATCCAAACATGTAAATCAATGACTATGAAGGCTTGATACTCAAACACCTGTAAACATATTATAGCCTTTGGTGAAGTATCAAGTGAGTGCATTGATTAGTTACTGGAGAGCAACTGATTTCATGCTGGGTGATCTTGAGTGCTGACCGAATTCCACCGATTATTTCAAGTGAGTTGTTTGTATTCAGTGGTATTCTTTCTTGACGTTTGCTCTCTCCAGCTTTGTTTAACTTTGTCATAAGTGTGCTCATAGGTGTTTTCATCTCCCGGTCTGATTTGACAGAGCTTAACCTTGTCACAGGAGACTTCTTATTCGACCTAGAGTATGCACATGACGTAGTCTTGTTAGATAAAAGTGCTAGCAGAATGCAGTCTTCCGAATACCTTCAATGACAATTTTAGGTCGTTTGCAATTCATTTCGGTCCAACCAAAAGCAAATTGTTGCTTCGAAATTGTTCTTCCTTCATAACTCGTTTGCTAGTAGGAAGCGAAGTGGTGGTGCACTTTGGCGGCTTCGCTTACTGAAGTTGTATCAGCCTTAGTATGTTCTGAGCTGACGCGATGTCTGCACGGATAAAAAGTGCTCTACTGGCTTTTCCCAAATTACTCCGCATACGGTGGAGGCAAGTTATCCGATATTCGAAGTGTCAAGTTTACTACGCAGCTCTTCACTCTGTTCTACTGATTGACTGTGAAACATAACTTTTGAAAGTAAGACATGAGAAGGCTTCATGTGTTCGACCATCGTTGCTTTCGTGTCTCAGTAAGTCTTTTATTAACGTTATTGACGTAAAATCAGTTTGGAGATCTACTGCACTCAGCATAAAGAAGAAGATCCGGATTTTCAACACTAAGTCAAGTCAGTGTTTCTATGTGATGGTTCAGAGACTTGGAGCGCTACGAAACGTATTTTCAACAAACTACAGACACACATCAACAGCTGCTGCCTGCGCTACATTGATAATGAAGATCAGATGGCTAGAAGGAATAAACAACAAGGAACTCTGGCTGGCAACGAACCAACCAAGAACCCGTCGCTCAACAAATATGCAGAAAAAAGTGGAGATGGATTCAACTGGACATAGACTGAGAATACCGTTTGGGGACATCACGCTCCAGGCCATGTCCTCGAGTGGGACGCAAAGGGAAACGAAAAGTTGCGTGTCCGAGGCGAGGATGACATGGAGGAGATCGTATGAGGAAGAAATGAAAGCTTGTGGGCAGTGGTGGAGCCAGGTTAAAAAGACAGAGACGTGTTTCTGAAGCCCTGTGTTCCACTAGGAACCCAAGGGACGAATAATAAAAGTAAAACTCGGACTTAGAATTTTAGGCATAAGAGGTAAATCAGTTGATTCGCTTACCCATATAGAGTCAGGTGATTAAAACCTGTAGCACACGCGTAATCACCGTGTACCTTGATGTCCAATACTAGTCAAAGTAGGTTTAGGTTGGAGAAACGTTGGAGGTCGAATCGAGACTTACTCAGCAACGTTTTGCACGTTCGTGCAGTAGACAACGAGCTACAACCACTGAGTGAGGATTAAACATACTACCTGTTGCCTAAACTTCGGTTGGTTGGTGAAGTGGGGCTCAAATCTGTGACATTGGTTGAAAATCACCTCGCTAGAACAGTAAGCCACATCTTCACTAAGGTTAGCGGTTAAAATGCTGCAAAATGGTATTTGTCTGTCAAGTCTCTAACTGTGTGTCGTGTAGGAAAGGTTGGGCTTCTAAGTTGAAGTCTGCGTGACAACTGAAATCTATTGTTGGGAACTAGGTAAAATTTCTTGAAATCAGTCGTAATGGCACAGATATTCAAATTAGCTCCATCTTATTCGTCATATGAGATTTCTTTATTGTTTTGCCTTCTCTTCTTCAGACTTATCACGACTTCTTCTGATTACATCTATATCTCTATTCTTTATCGTCTTTTCCTGATATGATATGCGTAAACTGTGATCGTTGCACAGTAATCCTAGGTCTCACTGTCGTAGTGAGTGGATGAAATATAGGTATAAGTGATGAACAGAACAGCTCTTTCTCTACTTATCCTAATTGGCTGCCTTTGACAACTCTGACTTTAATTTCCTCATGACTTCACAAATAGTGACTCTTAAGAGGATTCTGCAACAGGCCAATTCGTGCAACAATGTCGTTTAGTCTCAACAATATTAATCCACCAGCTGTAATTAGCTTACTACAACTCCTCATCGGTTCACAGAACCCGCAATCACTCCTACTATCGTCTATGGAAGCATAACAGCTATATTTAAGTACAATGGCAAGCTTAAATGCAGTCTGGCAAACACGACAGTGGTCGTTTGCAGTGGATGCATCGAAAGTCGAAATATAGAGGCACTACGCATGGTAATTAGTTTTTTAGTTAACTAGAAAGACCGCCAAAACGTTGGTGTCTAGCCAGGCCACTCCAAGCTAGTCTAAACAGAGGAAAGGATATTTTGAAGGCTATTTCAAGTAATCATTAGTTTATGTTCAATTGCTCACTATTCACTGACTTTTCAATTACTGAAATCGACAAATAAGAATAATAATAAACATGAAATCTAGGCAGTGCGATGAATTCCTATCAATCGTCACTAGATTAATCTGTGTGCCTACCAGATCTTTACTGACCACCATATCCTGAAATGTAGGCATAAATACTGTCCCACTGAAATGCGAAGCGTATTGAGACTTGATACATATTCCTATTCTCCTCCTACACGCCCTTGAAACTGCATTTTGGAGGACGCTGAAAATGAAGTCTATGAAAAGCTGTCAATTTTGCTACATGAAGCAAAAAGTTCGAATACAATCACGACAGCAGGTGACTTTAATGCTCAAGTAGGGAAACAGACAGTCGGAAAGGCATCTTAAGGGTATGTACGGAATCTCATGCCCACAAACCAACAGCAATAATCGTCTGTTTCAATTCTTTTTCTGACAACCACTTGTTTTTGGTCAGCAATAACTTCAAGCTCAAAAAGAGACATTATCTCACTTTGCGTCCTCCGATATCCAACTAACCATGAGCACATAGATCATATTGCCATAAGCAGTCGGTGGAGGAAAGACCGCTCTTTCCGGAGCACCTTTTTGGACTCTGATAACGTGT